CTTCTTTCCAGTGCGCCATTGGATTGAGGGTGAAAAGACGAAGTTCTGTACGTTTTAATTTGGAAAATTTTTGCTAATTTCCTCATTAATGAGCTAGTGAAACACGTACCTTGATCTGTTAAAATCGCCTTTGGGCATCCGAACTTGCAGATGAAGTGGTTTGTGAAGGCTTTTGATACTTCTTCTGTAGTGAATGAAACAAGAGGTGCTGCGACAGAATACTTTGTTAAGTTGTCTTGTATTGTTTAATATGTAACTGTATCCTTTTTTGGTGAGTGGAAGTGGTCCTAAGATATCCAGAGATATTTTATCAAATGCCTCGATGGGGGTGTCAGTGATAACCATTGGTTCCTTATTTTTCATCCGTACAAGCTTGTTTGTTGTTGGCAGTCAATGCAGGTTTTAACGTAGTCTACTACATCTTTTTTCATGTTTTTCCAATAATAATTATATCTTATACGATGATAAGTTTTCTTAATTTCTTTATGGCCTCCCAGTGGGGTTTCATGATTTTCTCTAATAATTTCTAATCTGTTTTGTTGCAGTGGTATTTGTATTGTTCCTGTACACAGTGTAATTTTGATGTTTGTATTACTGAAGACGATGTATAAGATCTTTTTAATATGTTTCCTGTCTGGCATGCTAATTTCCTGTATCTTCTGTTCTTGAAGTATAAGGGAAAGAGTTTTTAAGGCTTGAGGTAATTCTTCTTTAATTGGCGCTATTACTCCTAATACTAATTGTTTTCTCAATTTAATTTCTATTATTTGTCCGGTGTTGCATTTAGGTATTATAATTTTCTTTTTCTTTATAAATTCTTCTGACTGTGGGTCAGTAGGATTTCCTTCCCTGTCCAAAAATATTATTACTGTTCCTTTTCTTATCCACAGATGGTCTTTTGTTTCTTCTATAAATGTATGAGCCGGTTCTTCTGATATTACTTTTGGTTGTCCTGATTTCCTAACGGTGAGTTGTCCATCTTCTTTAACTATTTTAATGGGCGTTATCGGAGCCGTTCTGGTGGGGCTTGAATCTGATTTTTCTTTTAATTTTTTAGGTCTTGAAGATTCTTCCTTAGGTGTTTCAGAAGAGGAGTCGATTTTTGGTGGATCTTTGAATATATACTTAGGGAGAATTGTTGCCTCGTCTAATTCTTCTACTTCATCTGCAATTACTATAGGATCATTTCTTCTTAAAATTAACGGTGGAGGAGTCTTTTCTTTGAATTCTGAGGGTGGTTGATGGATCTCAACTTGTACTTCTCGTTCACTTTTCTTATGTTTTTTCTTAATTCTGTGTTTTTCTTGTGATGTGCTTGAACTTAAGGGCCTTTTCTTCTTGATCTTGTCTGCCAGATCATCTTCTGAGGCGTCCGTATCGTAGTAGGTAGATTCGTCTGAGCTGATTTCCTTTGATGAATACTGTTTTTGTTTTTTCTTTTGTTGGAATGAATCGGTAGATGTTAATTCCCGTGGTCGAGTAGGGTACTGGTGCCATTCTTTCTTCCTCTTGATTTCTCTTGAGCTGGTCGTTGTTGATTCCCGTGGTCGTGTTTTATACTGGTGCCATTCGTTCTTCTTTTTACTTTCTCTTGGGCTCGATGTAGTGGAACTTCTTGGACGTTTAACGTGTTGGTGCCAATATTTCGGCCTTTTCACTTCCCTGCTTCCAGATGTGTTTGTTGAATGAGATCTTTTGGCATTAATTGGTAGTGTATCAATATTTTGAGTTGGGTTACGAGATAATGTATCTGTGGTAGAGTTTAATTTTCCGGCTTTGTATTTTACTTCATAATCGTATTCGCTTAGTTTTAGTTTCCAGCGCAACAGTCTGGATGTAGGATCGGCGACTTTGTTTATCCAAGTTAATGGTTTATGGTCTGTTATTAAAGAAAATTTTCTACCGTAGACATATGGACGAAAGTGGTTTACGGCGTAGACAATTGCCAAAAGCTCTCTCTCGGTTGCTGAATACCTTGTTTCGGCTTCGTTAAGGACTCTTGAGGCATATGAAATTGGCTGGTCCTTTCCGATTTCTCCATGACTTAGGATTGCTCCTATGGCTATTCCAGATGCGTCTGTAGTTATATTAAACGGCTTTGAGAAATCTGGATATGCTAAAATTGGCTCTTTACATGAAGCATCCCTAAGGTGCGTAAAGGCGTCTTCTTGTTGCTTAGTCCATTCGAACTTTCGCTCTTTTTTAGTTAAGTCGAAGAGTGGCTTTGCAATTTTGGAGAAGTCCTTGATAAATCTCCTATAGTATCCACACAAACCCAGGAATTGCCTAATATTCCTTACCGTTTTTGGGACTGGAAACTCTTTGACTGCCTCGATTTTCCTAGGATCTGGCCTCAGTCCATTTTCGTGGATTATATGTCCCACATATGCCACTTCTTTCTTCAGGAATTCGCATTTGTCCGGTTGTAAACTAAGATTAGCTTCTCTTAGCTTTTCCATTCATTTATTAAATTTAATTTCATGTTCTTGTAGCGAGCTTGCATAAATGACTATATCATCTAAGTAGACAAATAGTTCTAATCCTTGGAAACTCGTTAATACATTACCCATTAATCGTTGGAAAGTCAGTGGGGCATTTTTTAATCCAAATGGCATTCTGTTGAAATGGCATTCTGTTGAACTCAATGGCATTCTGTTGAACTCATAATGCCCGTATTGTGTAGAGAATGCAGTTTTGTGCTTGTCGTCTGGATGCATAGGGATCTGGTGAAACCCTGATCTCAAATCAAAAATTGAAAAATACTTTGCGCTTCCTAGCTGATCCAAAATATCCGTTATATTAGGCAGAGGGTAGGCATCGCCAATAGTTTTCTCGTTTAGTCGCCTGAAGGCGATTACTAATCTCCATTTCTTCTGTCAATGAGAATCTTCTTTTTTCGGGACTATCCATAGAGGTGAATTATATGGGGACGTTGAGTGTTCAATTATTCCTTTTTGAAGTAAATCATTAATTTGTACGTTTATCTCCTCCCTGTGGCATTGAGAGTAACGATATTGTTTCACGTTCATTGGTGCCTCATCTGTGGTGATTATTCGGTAGTGTACTTTATTCGTAGCTGGTAATTCTTCTCCGGGTAAACTGAACCTGTCTGCATTGTTTTGTATTAGACGTTTGACGTTATCTGTTTCTTCTTCGTTTAAGTGGTCCATACGCAGGGCCTTGAATAGTTCTTTTGCTCGGTCAGTGCTTTCATGGTGTAATTTTTCGGTTGTTGATTGCTCATACGGTTGTAATTCCACTTCAGGCATCTGTATTCTGATTGGTCCAGTGGAGATGTTAACGGCACAGATAAAAGCGACTCCGTTTCTATTAGTTACGACTGCATTTCCAAGGTGCAATTCTGGATGTATGTCTAATTTCGGGACGAATCCTGTTTTAAGACTGGTATTTAATATTCTGATGGGTACGGCGTTGCCCTCTCTAGCTTTTATTTCGATGACGGGTTCTTGAAATGGTATGTTATAATTTTCTATTGTTAAAAGAGATTTTGAATATCTAATGTCGGCTCCGGCGTTTATAAAAAATTCGTTTCCGAGTATTCCATCCTGAGTTATGGGCAAATCTTCTACTATGTGGAGAATGGCTTCTGTGTTGCAAATTCTCATTTTGGTGTATCCTGTGGTTGAAAGTTGGCCTTCAGTTATTCCATTTAACTCAAATAGAGCGTCAGTATATATATGGGCGACGGGGGAAAGTATATTTTTTTGATTAAATTTTTAATTAAATTTAAATCTGACCCGGTGTCTATCATAAAACAAGCGGATCCTTGTTGAAAACTCTCATTTTCTATTTCTATGGTAGGCGGTTTCTTTATTTTGCAGGTTGGCTTTATGAGGTTGGTCCTTTTACATACCTGCTGATTTGTTTCTTTCTGTTTTTCTTGATAAGCCTTTTTCCGGCATTGATCGACGGTGTGTCCAATATTGTTGCAGAATGAGCAAGTAGGAGGTGGTCTTGCTACTGGTGCATTATTGTTAACCATTGGTGGATTGGTATTGGGTTGGTTGGAAAAGCTGTTCCTCGGCAGTCCTTGGATAGGGCGATTCCAGGATCTTCCTTGTTGGTTGATATTCCGGCAATTTTGTATAGTATAGCCCGATCGTTGACAATGTTGGCAGTACCGTGGTTGTCATTGTATTCTCGCGATTTGTTGCCCACCTAAAGCCTGACTTGGGCACATGCTGGTATTGTGTCCATATCCAAAACAATTGCTACACCGAATCGAACGCGTGTAATTTTCGGTCATTTTTAATCGTAAATGATTTTCCCTAACCTCGGCTTCAGCCCTAATGGTAGCGCTAATTGCGTCATTTAGGAATATAAACTCGCGAATACACAAACGATTATAAATTTCAGGCCTAAGTCCTGTTAAAAATGCTTTAACCGCGTTGCTTTCGGCTGTTTTGTTATACTGTGGTGCGATACTCGGTTGTTCTAACTCATTACAATGTTTAATTTCTGATAAAATAGTTGACATGCGACTACTATAATCAACGACGGCTTCGTTTGGCATTTGCGCGATTTTTGACAAGTCTCCATATAATTGAATTGAAATATATGTAGGAGCAAAACGGGATTTTAGAACCGTGATTAATTCTTCTATCGTGTTATATTCGCCACTTAAAACTACTCTCGATGCCTGACCGAACAGTTTATTTTTAATTAGCTGTACTAATCCGTATTCAGCGTGAGGTGAAATCATAGCTTTAACATTTAAACAATTTTTTGTAAATTGATATATTGGAATATTATGCCCCTCAAACAGAGATACTATATTCGCGGCGTCGCGTATACTAATTTGAGGAAGTGAGCGAGAAGCGCTCTCGAGTTGAGCCTCTACTTCAGGGGTCGGCAACCTTTTTTGGCCGCGGGTCAAAGTCAACCAAAATGCGACTGGGCTTGAGTACCAATTATCAGTAATCAAAACATGACCTTTATTTAATGATTGTTATTCATCTCCGTGCGTGCTCCACAATAGACTACAAAATCTTCGATATACCCTGTATAACAATCGCAGATAACATACGACTTGATTCCAAATCTACTTCGTTTTGAAGGTATATATTGCTTGAAGTGACATCGTCCTTTGAAAAGAAGCAAGCTTTCGTCGATGCATAAATGCTTATGTGGATAAAATGCTCGTGAAAAAGAATTACGCAGTCTATCGATAATGCTCCATATTTTTATCAGCGGATCTTGATTTGGTGTCTCAGTGTTGTCATGAAAGTGCAACATTTGTAATAGAGCTACATATCTGTCTTTTTTCATTATTCGTGGAATACTTTCCGTGCGTATTAATTCGTCGGTTGACCAGTATTCGTCTATTGATAATTTTTTTATTCTTGACATCAACATC